TGTGGTAATATTATTAGAAATATGGTGGTACACATGGCACGGAACGTGTTAATTGTTCGTAATTTTTTTTTTTACAGAAACGTTCTAAATTTAATTTAGTTTGGTTAAAATTTCGCACTTTGGTCGTCGGCATACCTAATATATATATATATATTTTTTATCGTTTCATACTCACCGGGATACTGAGATTTAATGAACCTGGTCTGCGATCGAATGTAACTGCTCTTATCATCCTCGGATCTGCCGGTTTGGCTGACCGACTGAATATCAGGGTACTCGAAGTCGATCGTTAGATCCTCTTCCTCGATGTTCGGCTCTGTTGTTCTGGTTATTCTGCTGTACTTCCTCTCCTGCGTGATCTCGTTTCTCGTCATGTACTCTACGTTACTGACCGCGGGCGTCTCGCCGATCCTCTCAAGGCTGTGATACCGTTCGTTCAATCTCGACGAGGACAAACCGAGGTTCGCTAGCTTCACCGGCGGTGACACAACTTCCGGTTGAAGTAGGTTGTCCAAGCTGCGGCTGCGTTGTTTCTCTTTCTCGAAGTATCTGTCGTTCAGAGCGGATTTCCGCGACAGGCCGGTCTCCGTTGTGGTCTCCAATATGGCTTCGTGCGACTGTTTCCTCATCTGAGCAGCGAAAAGTTCAACCAAATAATTGATTTCGATTGGAAATTTAAAGATCGTCGATCGGTGTAAAAGGATCGTTTAACTTTTCAAGTACAAGCCGATACGAATGGTTAATAAGTCAGTCATCTTCAGCATGTTTGTCCCAACGAAAGAAAATCGATATTAACCCCGTCGCGGCTATTATATAATGTTATAAGTTCTAAAGATGAAACTTCAGTTTCATGAGAAAATAGATTGACAATAGATTTCAGTCTTTTATTTCAATTCAGATTTGAAAATTATCGATTGAAATGAAAAGATCGTTCAACTTTCAAGTGTACGTTAATAAACCATATGTGATTTTCCATAAATTTTCAATGTAAAGAAATCGATATTAACCCTTTAGTGGCTATATACAATACATTATCCACATATTATACAATGTATAATATATATTAAATTATATCACTCTTTCAATTTAATCTTCAATAAATGATTAAAAATTGAAGGTTATATATTGCTTAATTTTATTTTGGAAATGTTTTTATCGAGTATAAAATTGGTACACAAGGAAACGAAAAGGAAATGTGTATTTCCAGCACAAGTGTGTCTCCTTGTCTAAAGGAACAATATTGACTTGGTTAGTATCGCGAGAGGATGATAAAGAGAACGTGGTTAAACAATCTTGAGACAAAGGAAGAGAGGAGAATCTAATTTACCGATGGCTTGGTGACTGGCGGCTGTGGCGGAGGAACAGCCGGTCTTCTGGGCGATTGAATTTCTGGTTCGACAGGTTTGTCCATAACCTTCGGTACTGGTTTCCGCTCGAGGGGCTGGAACGTTTTTAGAACCGGTGGCTCTATTTCCTGCTCCAGCTCGCGAATTATGTGCGCGTGCTAAATAAACCAGCGAGAATTTTATTATAACCGCCACCGATCCGGTGCTGAAGTGGACCGAATACTGAGAAGGACATTCGCAAACACTCACTTCACGCTTCTTGATCGGGGGGAAACTGTTCTTTCGTTGCTCGAGGAACATGTGTTTAGCAGCGGGGAACGCTGGCGCTAGTTCCAACTCTGAAATTAAGTCGAGAACGTAGTCGAAACCATTGGTTTCCGTCACGATTGCGTCCGGGCCGTCCAATTGGTTCCACAAAGTGATCGTCCATCCTGAATTATCGACACCGTGATTGTGAACAGCCAGGTTGGCTAATTCCTCGCAAGTCGTCCAAGAGTCCACTGCGCAGGTCACCGTCTCGCCTGGAAATAATCGGCGATCATCACAAACGTCTTCTACAAACGTAGATGAAAGTATCGCAATATATCTTTTTCTTTTTTTTTTGTTCCATTCACTCGCGGTTGGAAATTTCTCGCGACCGACTCACCGTCGTAAAATCCTACGCTCAGGGCCATGTTCACGCGATTCCTGTTGGCTCTCCACTCCAACACGCACGGCGGATAGTTTCTCGGTACGTGATGGACAACAATTTGCTGGTTGTTGTTGCTCGTTACTCTGAATACCGTCCTCTCCCCCTGGAGAAGCTTCCTCTGGCAGTAAGCTTTGTAGCCGTCGTACGCGTGATCGGACACGTACTTGAGGAAATACTTGAACAAAGTGGAACTGGGTTGAAAGGCGGACAAACAGTTGGACAGCAGTAGCCAGCCTCTCTCTTTGTTAGCGTCGTTCTCGTTCTTCCACGTTTGGTTGGCCAGCTGGCAAAGGATCTCGTCCCTCAGTTTCTCGTTGACGATCCCCTTGTTGACGATGTAGTCGCCCAGCGCCTGTTCCCTCTTGCCGCTCAGGTTGTTCTCGTTCATAAAACGCAGGATCATTTTGAAGATCATCAACGAGTCGGTGTAATCCTGGTCGCGGGCCTTCGCCAGGAACGGCGTCTTTATCGGTTCCCGTTTCATGCCGAAGATGTGGCTCTTGAAGTAAATGTTGGTGAACTTGGAGAATTGATGTTGATCGATGTCGTTCGGCAGACCGTAATTATGGTGCATGGGTATCACTTGGCCGACCACTTTCAGAAGGTTCCTCTCTGTATGCGTGGGCTGCCAATCTGCAACGACCGGGGACGTGTCGTGATTGTTCAACGTGTTTCGAGTGGAATTATTTGTATTATCTTTGACACGGAAGTTAAGCCAAGGGTCAACTTCTGATAAATACCGTCGAGTTTGCTGTAAATGAAAGCGAGCTCGGCAGGGATTTCTAGATGATTAACACCGGCCACAGCTCTGGACGTTCTTTCCTGCTCCTCTCTCTGCTGCTTCGCTTTGGCTCGTTCCTTACTCGCACGCTCGATCTCCGCTCTCTTCGCCATCTCCTCTTTCAGCACCTTGAATTTCTCACGCTGCTTCTTCCCCCTGTACATCTTCTGCGCCATCAGCACGCCTCTCCTCAACGCGTTGAACTTCTTCCTCTCGCGGTAGCCGCGGTAAACAGCTTGGATCAGCACCGTGCTTCGTGCGATGTTGAGGAACATTCTTCTCGCGAGGAATCCTCTCGTGTACCTGCGCGCAAACAATGGACAATTAATTATAACTAGGTTATTACGTAAGCCACGGCTCA